CCCTGGAGTGCTGTGAGGGTCCCACCAAAAGTGACAGAAGAAAGGCTGCTTCCTGGGCTTGCCCACTCGGCCCAGGACAGAGCCAGTGGGTCAGGGCAGCCACTGGAACAGAATCTGTGTGTGCACGCGTGTGCGTGCGTGTGCGTGTGTCCGTGCGCATGTGTGTGCTCCTGCATGCATGTGCAGGGTGTGGGCTGCGAGCCCTCTGGCTTCCCTGCCTTCCCGTCTTGGGCTGAGCAGGAGCGTCCCCTCCTGCTGGGGACTGGAGGGGTCTAGACTCCACTTCAGCATCCTCTGGGGCCCTGGGTCCAACCCCCACCCAGGAAGACCCTCCTGTGCGCTTGCTGTCCCTTCTGCTGCAGAGGCGGCCTCCCCCAGCCTGGTTCCAGGACCTGCCTGGCGCAGTCGGGGCTCCAGAGGTGTCTGCAGGGAGCGGGTGGAAGGTCGGTCAGGGCGTTGGAGACCTGGGCTGCCTGGTGCCTTCTTGGTCCCTGCTGTGGGTCGTCCAAGACAAGGTTCTTCTCCAGAGACGAGACGCTCCCTGGGGGTGGTTGGAAACCTGGGTTTCAGGCCCAGCTCTGCCGGTGACTCCCGGAGCAGCCTTGGCATGTTGCTGTGGCCTCTGGTCCTGTTTTCCCCTCTGTCACCTGGGGTCGTTAGCCCTGCTCTTTCACTGTGAAGAGCGGAGGCGAGGACCAGCCCTGACGCTGAGAGGCGGGAGTGGGTAAGGGCGTGTGGGCAGGGTGCCCGACCTCAGGCTCACTGAGGGGTCATTCACAAGGAGGGGGCGTCACGTGTTGGGTGGAGCCCTGTGCCTGGCGGGGGGTGCTCTGGGTGGGGTTTTCTGGGGACAGCATGCAGAGAGGGCTGGCTCCAGGTCGGTGACTTCACTGTCAGTAAGAAACAGAATATGGTGTCTTTGGAAAACCGTGCCCACGTGGGCTGAGGCCCGGGTACAGCAAGCTCCTGTTTCAGGCCCTGGTGCCAGGCGGTGCCACAGGAAGCCCCCAGGACAGGGCTGATGGCGTGGGGGGCTCGCCCTCCGAGGAGAGGCTGGCCTGGTCCTGGGGGAAGGCGGGGACCTGCCCTGCAGCCCTGGCCCTTTCTGAGGGCTGGGAGCAGAGGCCACCAGCTCCTGTGTCCTCCCACTCAGGAGGTGAGGTGGGGGACGGGGGAGCTCCGGGTTGGGGAAGGGAGAGTCTGGCTGTTGGCACGGACCTGGGCCTGGCCTCGCTGGCTGGCCTTCCTGCTTCCTCGAGCCTGAGCTGGGCCCGCTCTGGCCAGGCAAGCCACGAGTGGGCAGGAGGCTGTGGCTCCTGCATGGGCTCTGTTGCCAGCTCTCCAGGTGGCCATGGCAGGACTGCACCCCCGACCTCTCCTGTTCTGGAAAGCAGAGGGGTGGTGTGGGCCGTGCCCAGCACCCTGCGAGGCTGGGATTCACGGAGACACGAGACCCAGCCCTCGCTGGCCATCGACTGAGCATTTAGCACCTGCCTTCCAAGTGTCAGTACTG